AAGGACAGTGGATGAAGTTTGAAAGAACCTTACCTATGCTTTTTTGGTTCATGATTCTTGGGAGAATTTTACCAGAGAGTTCAGTGGTACAACTACATTGATGGTCATATCTGACTCCTGATGGTTTCAGATTTTTGTTCAATTTTCAATGTCCACATCTCTGAGATATTTAGTCGACATCCTTGTGATGAAAAAAAAAGAAGAAGATGCTTAGTTGACACAAAGTGAAAGGAAAATTACAAAAGAGAATACAGTTCAGCCTGTTCATATCAAGATTAGAAGTTCTAGAGATGCGTATGAAGTTTTACCTGATTAATCTCTGAGATTACTTAAATTGAGGTTAATTTTCTTTCGAAGATAATGTGTGGCAAGGGAACCTTCTTAGATGTAGGTAGTGTTAGGGCTCTGGAAATAAAAAGTCCTGAAGAATAAAAACATCCCTCTTCTGAATATAAAGATATTCTCTTTTTTCCTCCTTTTTTTGGTTTGCTTTTGGCAGCTTAATTGATCATGGTCCTTCCAACTACACAAAATAAGAAGCAATGACAATATGAATATCACTGTGTGCATAAATTACATTGGGTTTTCTGTGCTGATGTCTTTCATTTAGTTGTAATAGGATCTGATTATCAGCAACTTTAGAAGTTCTTGCTGTAGCTGCAATTTCTTTAAGTTAATCCAGGGCATTGTAAAGTTGAATGATTCAGCAGGTTACCGAAGTTGGTAAATACTGATATAACCAGTACATTGGGGATTCTGAGTTTGCCTTTCTATGTGTCAACAGGTATCTTGGGAGGAAAATATTAAGTCACATATTATGAGTGACCAACTAGTATTTATAGGAGTACAACCCTAACAAACTATTTACAAAAATACCCTTACTAATTTATTATCTACAAGAATACTTATATTCTCTTAACACTCCCCCTCAAGTTGGAGCATATATATCATAAGCACCCAACTTGTTACAAAGGTATTTCACCCTAGAGCCCCCTAAGCTCTTGGTAAACACATCAGCCAATTGATCTACAGACGGTACATGAGATGTCTTGATGACCCCGTCAAGCAATTTTTCTCGAATGAAATGACAATCAACTTCAATATGTTTTGTCCTTTCATGAAACACTGGATTAGACGCAATATGAACAGCCGCCTGATTATCACACACTAAATTCATAGGCTGTTTATGCTCAAACCCAAGTTCAAGTAATATGCTCTTCAACCAAACCAACTCACACACAGTGTGAGCCATAGCGCGGTATTCAGATTCTGCACTTGATCTGGATACAACTGTTTGCTTCTTACTCTTTCACGACACTAAATTACCACCAACAAACACACAATATCCTGTGGTCGATCTTCGATCTGAGGCAGAACCAGCCCAATCTGCATCACTATATCCTTCAATATCAGTGTGTCCATGATTTTGATACAGCAACCCTTTTCCAGGAGCACTCTTAAGATATCTGAGAATCCGTACAACAGCATCCCAATGACTAGTACGAGGAGTATCAAGAAATTGACTCACAACACTCACTGCAAACGAAATGTCAGGTCTCGTTACAGTGAGATAATTTAATTTACCCACAAGTCTTCGATATTACTTAGGATCATCAAGTAATGCACCTTGATCTCTTGCTAATTTCACATTGGGATCCATAGGAGTATCCACAGGTCGGCAACCTAACATCCCAACTTCACTCAACATATCGAGTACATATTTCCTTTGACATAAATAAATCCCATATTTAGACCGAGCTACCTCAATACCCAGAAAATACTGTAGATGACCTAAATCCTTTGTCTGAAAGTTTGCCTGCAGATTGGATTTAAGTTTCTGGATTCCCACAACATCATCACCTGTAATCACAATATCATCCACATAAACAACTAAGAAAATTTTACCAGCATTAGAATGCCGATAAAATACAGAGTGATCTACTCCACATCTTGTCAGACCGAACTCCATGACAACACTACTAAACCGGCCAAACCAAGCCCTCGGAGACTGTTTCAATCCATATAAGGATTTTTTCAAACGACAAACCAACCGCGGATTCTCCCCCTGAACAACAAATCCAGGAGGTTGTTCCATATATACCTCTTCTTTCAAATCTCCATGCAGAAATGCATTTTTCACATCCAACTGATGCAATGGCCAATTATAAGTTGCTGCCAAAGAGATAAGAAGACGAACAGAGGTAATCTTTGCAACAGGAGAAAATGTTTCTAAGTAATCTACTCCATACACCTGAGTAAATCCTCTAGCTACCAGCCGAGCCTTCAATCTATCAATAGAACCATTAGACTGCACTTTTATAGTGTACACCCATTTACAACCAACAACAGGCTTACCTGAACGACGAGGGACAAGATCCCAAGTACCATTTTGTTCCAAAGCAGACATCTCTTCTTGCATAGCTAATCTCCAACCAGGATGATTAAGAGCATAGGTAATAGACTTAGGAATGGAGATAGAATCAAGGGAAGCAACAAAAGAAGAATATGACATAGAGAGACGAGAATAAGAAACAAAATTAGAAATAGGATGGGAAGTACAATGTCTCTTACCTTTGCGTAAAGCAATAGGAAGATCTAACTCACAGGAGGGCGTCATACCTGAATTTGAAGATTGAGAGTTAATTGGTGAAGTGCGTGGCATATCAGAAACTTTCTCAACCATGGAACGACGAGAGTAAACTTGAAGATGAGGACGAGATAATCGAGCTATGGAATCTGGTGGACTAGATGACTCAGGTAATAAAGGGGAAGGGACTGGTAAAACAGGAGAGGAAAAAGAGGGACACTGGTCTAACTCACAAGGCGTACTTTGTTTGATAAAATATGGAGTGGATTCAAAGAAAGTAACATCAGCACAAGTAAAAAATCGATTTAAAACTGGACTGTAACATCTATACCCTTTTTGCGCTCGTGCGTATCCTAAGAAAATACACTTAATGGCACGAGAATCCAATTTATCCACCCCGGGAGTAAGCTGATGAACAAAGCACACACATCCAAAAATACGAGAAGGTAATTTAAACACAGGTTCATGAGGAAAAAGAATAGAGTGAGGTAATTGACCTCCAAGAATATTAGATGGCATGCGATTAATTAAATAACATGCAGTTAGAACTGCATCACTCCAAAATTGTTTGGGCACATTCATGTGCAACAACACTGTTCGAGCAATTTCGATTATATGTCCAATTTTTCTTTCAGCAACTCCATTCTGTTGTGGAGTGTAAGGACAAGAGGACTGATGAATAATACCAGACTTACTCATAAAGGTATTAAAAGGAGTGGAAAAATATTCTTTCGCATTATCACTGCGAAGTATACGTACCGGCACACCAAATTGATTCTTTATTTCTGCAACAAATGCACAAAAAATGGAATATAGTTCTGAACGATCTTTCATTAAATAAAGCCACGTAACTCTTGAAAAATCATCAACAAAGATTACAAAATATTTAAAACCTAACTTTGAAGTGACTCGACTAGGACCCCAAACATCAGAATGAACTAACAAAAACGGTTCAGAAACCCGTGTATTGACTCTAGGAGCAAAAGAAACACGATTATGCTTTCCTAACTGACAAGACTCACACTCTAACGAAGATAATTGACTCAAAGTAGGAACCAACTTTTTCAAATTTTGTAAAGACGGATGACCTAAACGACAGTGAATTTCAAGAGGAGAAACAGTAGCAGGACATGCTATCGGACCATTGAAGTTGAGAAAATAAAGACCATTATGCTCATGCCCTTTAATCTAATGTCTGTTAGTAAGCTCACTAAATTTCTATAGTGTACAGTTACTTTTTCTCCTGATTCTGTTGTCATTCAGGATTTGAAGACAAAGAGGACGATTGGTGGAGGGCAAATTGGGTACGTAAAGAACAGAAGACAGCGGAAGTGATGGATTAATTTCTACAGTGCCTAGTCCTTTAACTTTAGTGGTAGATCCATCAGCTAAAGTAACATGAGGATATGGAGTAGACTCTTGAAAATTAGAAAAAATTTTAGAGGTACTTGACATATGATCAGTAGCCCCGGAGTCAATAATCCATGAGTCACTACCTTTTTGTGCTAAAGAAGCAGAGGGAAGAGATGCGTGATTTGTAACTTGGTACTGTAGGAATTTAACATAATTCTCCTCAGATATAGTAACAGTCTTCTGGGACCCATGTGCTGAAAAACTCGATTCAATGTGGTCATTGGTAACCGTATTAACAAACCTTTCAACCATGGCGAATGGCACATCAAACCAAAGAAAAGGTCAAAACTCAAGATGACAGTGACGTGTGAACAGTGCCGTGAACAGTGAACAACTCGCGTGAACAGTGCTATGAACAGTGCCGTGAACAGTAATGATGAACAGTGCCCCCGTGAACAGTCGCGGTGAACAGTATCGCGTGAACAGTCGCGATGACCAAAACTTTTGCTAGATGTTTAACCCTAACCCTAGGACTTTTGCTCTGATACCAGGTCAACAGGTATCTTGGGAGGAAAACATCAAGTCACATATTATGAGTGACCAACTAGTATTTATAGGAGTACAACCCTAACAATTATTCTCTTAACACTATGTAATAGTCAATCAGAAAGAGTTTTTACAGAACTCATTATACATTAACTTTTGCTGCCACATCTGAGATTTCCAAGTTTTCTGTTTTGGTTCTCATTTTCTTTTATAGCTGCTGGATGATTGATTATATTCACTTTGTATTAATCCTGAACCATCTAGAGTTATGTTTTGTCTAAAATATGCGTCAGCCTGTCAAACATTTTTTATTAAAATTTCCAGCAATAATTATTTGAGGATTATTAAATATTATAACAGTCAACGTTTTTTATTATCGTTCATAATTTTAAAATATATTGATCTTAGTTGAGAACTCACTCAGTTGGGATATCAATTCCCTGATGATAACATAAAAAAAATGTATTAATAGACTAAGAGGAGATATTAGCATATGAAATGTCATATTTAAAAGTTTTAGGATTTTTTGATTCAATAAAAGCACTTCTTAGGCAATATCCTTTCTCCAGAATTAGATCCTATAAATATCTTTTCAGAATGAGTACCCTGCTTCTCCTTGTGGAAACATTAATCTCTATTCCACTTCATCTCATAGAAATTGTACATTGTTGTGCATAGCAACATCTGAAGATGATAAACTCCTAGCAGAATTGGTTAATTGGTTGTTTGAGGATGTCTTGGTGTATGTTTGGAAGTGTGCTTTTTTGAAATCTCATGCCACTTAATATGCTCTCTCTCTCAGATTATATGTGTCTGTGTGTGTTTTTGTCCGCACATTAATATAAGTCCATGAGGTTTGCCTATAAGCATCCTCATTGTTGGTTCCAAAATCCTATTGAGTTAGAGAGCCCAATCTCTTGGTCCAAAGAAAATTGTGATTGTGAGATAAATTGGAGATTTGATACCTAGTGCTGGTTTTGATGACTAGCGTATTCAATTCTGCAATTTGACTTAGATGCTTGAAGTAAAATTACTTTCACTGTCCTGCTCTATTGTTTCTTGTGTTGCTTATTGAAGTAGATCCCATTATGTTGTCATTTGCTAATGAGAGTGTTGAACCTGATGATTACAGGATGGATCAGGAATGACAATGTAATGCTTACTTTTTGAGAGCTGAATATCAGTGAAATTATGAACATCCAGAGTTGAAACATTTCTGAGGTGAAATTGATAATTACTTGCGGTTCTCTGGATTCTTCAGTGTAGCCTCATTTTGTTCCAGGAGATTTGTAACCCTTAAAAAGTATGACTTCTGGAAATGTTACTTCCCAAAACTTTAGAAAAGCTTTTGGAGCTTTAAAAGACTCTACAAAGGTTGGAATGGCTATAGTTAACAGCGAAAACAAGGTGATCCCAGATATTATGCAAGATAAGTACTATTTTATGTCTTTTTTTCATCAAAGAATTTTGAGATGTATGTATGCTGTGCATTAGGAGCTGGATGTTGCTATTGTCAAAGCCACAAACCATGATGAAGTATTGCCAAAGCAGAAACATGTACGAAGTGAGTTAAAGTTTGTTCATGCAAGTGAAGCTCATTAATTCTCATTACATACTGTTGGTATCTCTGATGTGTTCTTGTAGATTGGAAATTGAAATAATTTTGGCTTCTAATACTGCACTTGATAATTTTATGGCAATTGAGTACACAAATAACCTTAGAATTACAAGCATAAAACGTTCTTTCTCTTCTTTTCCATTCTCCTGAATTCTGTGGATTGAAAGATAAACTTCTCATAGTTTTGACCTTTAAATTTTAGTAATTTTAAATTTCTTGAGGGAATCAAACAATCTCTAGCAGTTTTCTCTAATGAATGAAGCTGCATGCTGACACATGCTTATTTTGTTTCTCATCAGCAATCTTCAACTCGCTGTCAGCATCAAGCCCTCGAGAAGATGTTTCTTATTGCATACATGCACTTGCCAGGCGTCTTGCCAAAACACATACTTGGACAGTATGCCCTTTAGCACCTTCTTGCTTAAACTTTCATTATCTGTCATACGTTCCCAGAATTCTCCAAATTTTCTGCGTTTAACTTTTGATATGTGAGGTCACACAAACTTGTAGGATTGCTTTAAGAAGGCCAATAGTTCATGTGAATCTTTACGAATGCTTGCTATACAATTTTCTGTTTACCCTGCCAAAGATCAGTACTTATCCTTGACCTTGATTTGACTGTTCTACAGATGACTTGTTCCCTTGCCTGTTGCATATGATGTAAAATGAGCTACGTTTGAATCCTTTTTCCTATGTACCAAATTTTATCTTGTTAATTTGATATGCTTTGTGAAATAAATTTACTATTATTGAGGCTTTATTTATTAAGGAAAGTACAGGTGGAAAGTCTTTCTAGATAAACACCAGTCAATGGAAAGTGCAAGACATTTTCCTTGGTATCGTTTGGCTAGAAAATTTCCCCAGAGGAGTTTTCTATTAATTTACCAAATTTGGATAGTTGTAGAATGGTCTTGTCTTGCTTTAACACTTCAACAAAATCTACAAATTTTGCAAGAATGAAAAATGGGAAGCATTTGCTAACAAAGGGTAATCCATAAGTTTTCTGCAATCAAAACATAGATAAGGGAATAAATCACTATCTTTCGTTTATTTTTGTTTCTTTTCAGTTTTTGCTTTCCAGTCAAACAGTAGCTAGAAGAGTTAAATTGGAGTAACTATGTTGTGGAATACAAGCTGATATGTTTTTTTTTTAAGAATTTGTGCAGTACTTATACATTAATTTACATAAATAAACTCATACAACCAAGTCTACAACTTCTCTTTTCTACAAAGCTTTATAGGAATTAGTTTCTTTATTTTTGTTAAGCATCTTTTTGTTTGAGATAGATCATTCTTCTATAGTAGTTTCACAATATCTTTTCTGCTCTTTACTCAGGTTGCATTGAAAACTTTGGTAGTTATACATCGTGGATTAAGGGAAGTTGATGCAACGTTTCAGCAGGAGCTCATTGAATATGGTTATAGAAAAAATCACCTGCTTAACCTATCACACTTCAAGGATGATTCGAGCCCCAGTGGTAAGCATTCTCCTGATTTTCTTTAGATCTGGAACTTTCAAGGAACTAAAAATTTGGAGTTTTCTGTTGTGAAGCGTGGGAAAATTCATCTTGGGTTCGTTGTTATGCTTTATATCTTGAAGAACTCCTCGAATGCTTCCGAGTATTGAAATATGACTTCCAGAAGGATCGCTCGGTATGCTATTGCATTATGCTATAGTGCTGAAGTTTATTGTTAACAGTGAAGCTGGAAAGTGAGAAAAATTCATGTTGGTTTAACAGGACAACAAAATATAGCATTTCCTATCAAAGATCTTGCTAGGATAGGCTATATATAACTTGAGCTTTGGTCCAAGTCTACTGCATATGATTATAGATTCTGATGCATCTTACTGTCCACTCAATGGATATCCCAGATAAGGGACAAATGCTATAGTGTAAAATGAATAATATGCCTTTTTGACAGAGAATCAAGGCTCTTGACACGTCAGATTTGCTTGAGCAATTACCTGTGTTGCAGCAACTCCTTTTTCGTCTCCTTGATTGTCAGGTTATATCTCATTTCTTATTGGCTGTTTTTATTTATTTTATTTTATCTTTTGTCTATTGAGCCTTATCGGTCTCCACTAGTACTAGGTTTAGTCAATGGACAAAAATTTTTTCTTGGATGGAGGATCATTGATTATGTATCCTCTTGGCAGCCAGTGGGAGCATCACAACCTAACTTCTTGATTCAGTATGCTCTTTCAATTGTAAGTAACATCCGAGGTTGTTGCTTTAAGAGATCATTTGGTTCAGATGTATGTTCATCTTATGGTTTTTATATTCCAGGTTGCAGCAGAAAGTGTTAGGCTATATGTGATAATTACAGACGGGACTCTGAATTTGGTTGACAAGGTAAAAGATGTTATCCCAATAAGTCTACTGCATTTACATGATAGTTTGGGCATTGACTTATATTGTTGCACAGTTTTTTGAGATGCAGCGTCATGACGCTGTCAGATCACTTGAGATTTACAAGAAGGCAGGGAAACAGGTATTTAGCTAGTTTCTCTTTACCATGGATGCTCCTTCTCATAACATTTCCAGAAACCAGATAAACAACATATTTAATATCTGCAGGCAAAAAGGCTATCTGCGTTCTTTGAGCTCTGCAGGAGCCTTGATTTTGGACGAGGACAAAACTACATTGAAATCAAACAGGTACCATACTTCAGGGGTTGTTTGCCTGAATATTGATAATTTATTGGAAATTAAAGAAATATCATCTATTCAGGTTCCAAAACAGTGAAGTGGACATTAAAGTCGATCTTAGAGGAATCAAATATAAAGTTGATTTCTTAGACATTGACTACTTCTTTGTTCTTTTTTCACTGTTTCTTTCTTCTTCTTATGTGACACTTTTCATTTCTTCTCAAACTCCATCCATTCCTTTCTCTCCTCCTACCGTCACTTTTCTAGTTTTGGGGTGGTAGTTTGATACTGATGGTGGTCCTGGTGTTGCTGGTTGTGGAGAGGGAGATTTTGGAAGTGAAAGATGCCGTAGGAGGCACGGCTCACATGATCTTTCTCTGTGGCTGCTCTTCTACTCTCTTGTTGTGTGCGCATATAGAAAATTTATGAAGAAGGATAGGAGAAGGGAGTAGGAGAAGGGAGAAGGGAGGAGAAAGAGAAGAAGAGATGGACAGGAAGGAGTTTGAGAAGAAAAGGAAGAATGGCAGCGCAAGACGTAGATGGAAGCGCCATAAGAAAATTTCACTACTTTGGGATCTCTAATAAACCAACAATACATATTTATTGTCCAACAAAAAATCAATATTTGGGTACATAACCTAGACTTTATGCTTAATGTGAATTGCTTAATACCTGAGGTTTGTTTATCCTTACTATTGAGCTGCAGCCCGCAGAGTCGTTCATGACAATCATGGAAGAATATGTGAAGGATGCCCCACAGACTCTGATGCTTCCATGGAGGGTGGTAAGTCTGCGTATTTTTAACTTTTTTTTTGGGGGGGAGGTAAGTCTTTTCCTTTATTAATGTAAAAATGAAGCTTAAACAAGTGGATGGACTCCCTCAACCACTACAAGAAAACAGTATCAATCAACAAGGAAGTAGAAGACCAAATACTATACACATACTCACTGTTACATCCAAGGGCTAATTGCTACCTGATCACAGAAAGATATCCAGATATATAATCTGATAAGATCTTTTACAAAGATATCCCTGTAGTCCGCTTTGAATTTTTTTAAGTTACTCGACATTGTGCAAGTTGCTCTTGCATCATGTCATGTATCATCTCTGTTTAACTCCTGAATGGCCATCTACCTAGACACACCTGCCATGTAATAGTTTTTTTTAAAGGGAAAGCCAAAACTCCAGAGTTACTGATTGTTGAGGCTATTGAAGTGAGAAATTTCAGTGCTAGAATTTTCAGGTAGTATTTAGAAAAATTTAAATGTATTAGAGGCATCTATTGTTAAATCAAGTCATTAAAGTTTCTTTTTTCTCATGTCATAGATAGCTGGGCTAAAACTTGAGTTAGACAAATCCATTAACAAAGTTATACCAACAAAATTACTGCTGGATATCTGTTATAAGTTTCTTGACAGTTAAACAACCTGATCTTCTTGTTATAAGTACCTTGTAAACTTCATCGAGCAACTCGCTTGTAATTTAGGGTCACCATCATAATGCAAGAGGGTAGACTGCAGAGTTGTCCTACGTTTGCACTATGTTGTCGCTTGGTTATCAATTTTTTTGAAAAAACAGTGGATCACTGACTAACACTGTGCAATGCAGAAGTGTACTAGTGTTGCACATGCTTATTATCACATATTCCAATATTAACCAACCTTCTTTTAAAATTGTATTCATTAATATAACTGCATTACACTTGCAATATTTCTGGAATTTATAGCTTTGGTTTATTTCACTTTGCATAAGTTTTAATGGTGAAGACCTAATAGCTCTGATATATTTAAAGTTAGTCAAATTTGATTTGATTACTGCTCAAAAGCTCCTATACTTCAATTTCCTTGCATCGTGAGAGGTGCAATGCCCTGCCCTATAGCTTTACCTTTTGAAGTCTGACAAAAACTATCTTAAAATACTGTATAAGGAATCAACCGCCGTGGTGTTTTTGACATGCATAGGTACAAAAAATGAAATGTCTTAATAAGAAAAGCTCATTAGTGTTTACTTTAGTATTCCATTTTCTTATGTCATCAGGGTGATAATGACAAAGTTAGAACTCCCAAAGCAACTATTGCAGTAGATTCTAGCTTGGACATAAATCATGAGCTAGGTGATGGTGCGGAAAATTGTTCAGACCCCTCTGTAGTTTCTGATAAGGTCTCAAAAAATGAAAATACTGAAAGTTCTGCTACACCTCCAGTTGCTGATTTATTGGTAAGGCCATCTTGAACTTGTAAAAATTCTACCAGAAGGCATGGTTAAATCTTTTGATTTTTAAACTTTGCCTTTTCTTTTAGAGCTTTGATGATTTATTTCCAGAAGCATCTCCAATGGAGGGCACAGATTCTGCTCCTTCAGCAATCATAAGACCTGGTTGTTTTCTTTCCCAAATTATTGATGTCAATTTTGTTAAGAATGTAGTTTATGTTTATTCTAACAAGTCATAACAATGCATTACAGGAGATCAGTTGAATACCTCTCTCAATCCGGATTTGATTAGTCAATCTACTAGCTGGGAGCTTGAACTTGTGTCAGCTCCAAGCTCTAACCTGGCAGTTGTTACAGCAAGTACACTGGTTAGCCCTTCCAGAAAAATATTGCTTTTCTCCTTTTGGTAAATCTCCTAAATAATAGTAACCTAGGGGCATATACGGCTTCCTCTTTCCCCTTTTAATGGACAGAAGGAACTTTTTGGCCTAAGTGGTTGGAATGTTAGAATTGATCAAAAGAAAAGTTATGCAGGATCTTTAACATATGAATGTTAAACGTAGAAGGCAATCAAAAGTAGTTTGTCTAGTGTTAATTTTTTCACTAGCATTGAAATTTGTTTATCAATTTACAGTGATAGCTATATGGTTCACGATCAAACATCCTGCTTAAAATCATGGATGATCCGGCACTATTTCAGAGAGTGGTTCCTCTCTGATTAACAGTTTGATTAGCAAGGTGGACCATTTTGAAGAGTGGTTTCTCTCTCAGTAATAGTCGGATAAGCAAGAGTGAGGTTAATCGCTAGCTTAATTGAACCATGAATGTTTAGGTTCTTATTAACGAAAAAATATTGGGGTAGTTTTGTAGTACTGAATTTGTAGGAAACCCATATGATTGTCAATGTTGTAAACCAAGTTGTCGTCAGAGTTTCTTGACCAAGATGCTTGTGGTAGAAGCATGCACTTTTCTTTGAATGAGTTTCTTGTGCCATAAAATCTCTAATGATATTAGCAAATTCAGGGTGGTGGACTAGACAGATTGACCTTGGATAGTTTATATGATGTTGCACTGGCAATAGCAAATCCGAGTGGAATGAACCAAGTGTCAGGAATCTCATCAAATCCCTTTGAAGATGCTAGTTATGAACTAGCTCAGTATCCACATCATGTTGCTCAGAGTATAGAACCTCCTGCTGAAGCTCATACATCAGATATGGCGCAAAAACAGGAAGTATACATGCTGCAGGAACAGCAGGTTATGGTAGTTCATGAATCAAGTCATCCCTTTGGGCATCCTTTTGTTGATCAGGGAACCGCTTGTCCATCTCAGAACCAGTCACTTCATGCTAGCTCAATCTGAATTGATGATGGGATCAGCATCTGTATAAAGTCAGCAATCTGATATGCAACTAACTCAGTCTTATGAAGCCATGAAATATGCAATATGTGCAGTTTATAGTTTTTTATTTTAGGCTTGACGACTTGCTTTCACTTGTTCAGCCATTAGATTAATGTGGTTTTCATTTTTGAGTTAGATTTACGTGTGAATAGTTTTTGAATAATCTAATGTAAGTTCTCTTTATTGTTTTGTTTAGATTCTACAGTCGGAAAATTCCTTCAAGCGCAGAATGGTTTAAATTGTTTATTCTATTTATTTATAAGTTTGAAAAAAAAAAAGGAATGTGCAGCGGTCCTAGTTATTTGGTAATGGAATTTGTAATATATTGTCAATTTGCTTTTATAATCCTCCCTTAAAGTATGACATCTTAAAGAACTTTTAGTAGACAGAATTTCATATATATTACTATCACGAAGTAGTTGAAATGTACACTAATTTGGCATCACAGGTTCGAAAATCTGAATAAACTTTCCTATAAACAATTGAATAAACTTCACAGTTCATACTTCCAAAAGAAATTATTAATTATAAAATTTCCATCCCTTTCAAGGTGTAATAACTGGATTGTATTAACAAAAAAAAACTCTCAAAGTCACTCATGAATTTAATCAATGGCTCTTTGAACTGTCAATCACAACAAAGACTCTTAAAGTCTTTGTGAAATAGAAAATTAACGTTTCGAAACTTGCTCCCATCAATTGCCACCATATGGCTTCTCCAACTTCTCCAATTTCTGTGGTTTGTCCCCTCCCCCATAGTACAGGAGTAGGAGAAGATGTAAGTATGGATTGTTGACATTCGACTCGAAAAAAAAAAAAAAAAAGTACTACTCAGGAACTTAGAAACCACGCTTTAAGCCCCTCTGAATTAAAGGCGCAGAAATACCAGTCTTCCTTTTCCACGATTCCATCTGGCACGATGACAAAGGAGCATTTTTCTTTGCTTTGACCAAAACCTCTACTTCACGTATTGCTTTCCAATGTACTACAAATTTAACTGTCTTCTTCTAAGCCTATAACCACCTTCAGCTGTATCATTCTCTACCACTGATCTCTTTGAAACTGCCCGATTACCGTTCTACACACCGTTTGACAGTCATTCTACCGCCTTTCCCCCCCCCCCCCCCACTTCTACACTCCTCTTAACACACTAGCCCTTCTTTGATTCTTCAGAAATTTAACCATTTGACAGTCATTCTACTGCTTTCTACCCTCCACACTCCTCTTTAACACACTGGAACTCCCATTGATTCTTCAGTAATCGATCAATTCTCCTCCTGTCAAATACTTGGCCATCAGTGAGCTAACTATTTTGTAGCAAGTATAACTTTACCCATAGACATCAATATAAATGATGGGATTTCTATACTCATCGCCTTCTATCAGTAATTAGAAGATGACCAATTGATGAGTATAGAAATAGATCTTAATCTTCAAAGATCACATAAATCAAGAAGCCCTCATCACCACGCCACCAAAAGACAAATCTTCCATGCTGTTCGCCGCACAAACTGGAAAATTCAACAAGGGAATCAGGACTTAAAAGCTGCAAGGAACTTCAGCTTCTCTATAGTTCATAACTATCATACCAAAAAGAATCTTGACATTTTTGCTACAGGGATTTACAGTTTCGCTGAGACTCAGTTTTCCATGTACAGAAAATCTAGCCAGTTGGGATATTAGTGACAGCGTATTACACAGAAAAAGAATCTAAACATAGCCGTAATCCATAGAAAAGATGAGAAGAATTTTGTAACAAAATTGCCATACAAGTTTGTGGCTGTGTTTAATGTTTGTACAGAAAGCGTTGACAAATATACTGATCCAATGGAAAAATGAGTCTTATCCGGTGAAAAGCTTCCTGAAATCCTTTCGATCTTTCGCTGCCTCCGTTAAAGCAAGGAATCTCTTGAATCCAGTTGTAGCAGCACCTCTTCCAAGTGCAGCTGCCCTGGCAAGGACATCTTCCCTGGAAATTAAGCTTCCAACCACAACTGGACTTGTTATTGCAGGTGCTGCAGAGGGAGGGGGGGCAGATGGGACAGCTGAAGGGCCAGCAATTGCAGGCTGAGTAATTCCTGACCCACGTCGACTAAAATCATCCAATATACTTTGTTGGTCAGTTCTCTTCAGACCCTGTGGAAACATCAGACAAGCAACAAGCAAAATCAGTACTGTTAAGCCCAAAATATGCAATTGACATTCATTTAATATCCTTACAACCAATTTTGGCCACTTCATGTTCTTCCAAAGCTCATAATACAGAAGATGGCTTGGGCAAAATAAATTATGGAGACTAAATGCATAAGTTGCTTTATAGAGAGATGAACCAAAAGAGTTATATATTCAACTAATGCAGACCAAGGGCGAAAAGCTTACTATTAGGCTTTTCATATAATAAAATATACAGAAGCACAAGTATTCACGAACTCCCCAAGTAAAAGTCAAAACATGCAGAAGATAAGAATGCAGCAACCCCACCATAATTCCTCAGTAATCCCACCATTTAGCCAAAAAAAAAAAACTTCTTTAATTGATTTATCTTTCTACCAATCTTACTAGTGGAACTTCACCAAAGATCAAATAGTGATTTGCAATAATAAGATGTTTCTGACTATCACAAACACTTCCTCTTTTTCGAAAGAAAATTTGATTTTTCATGAAAATCTAGTCTTGCTACCTAAATCTCCATAATAATAAAGGAATAAACAAACATAATATATCATCCCCACTTTCTTATTCAAACAAACAAAAAAAAGGAAGGTGCAGAACTTTTCATGGCAATACCACAAAACATACTACAAGACACAAAAGAAATTATAGGTGCATGTCATAAAACACCAATCTACAGGCAGGCAGAGAGAAAAAACAAGCAGATAGTAATTTAAGGAATAAGTGCTTTTTTCCTGTCTGACAAATAATTTGAAACAAAAGTTCAGGAAACTACATGGGACTTGAAGAACCCAGAAAACCTCTCTTTTGAACCCAGATCACCATTTTCCAATCTTCAGACACGTTTCATTCCAATAAATATATAACTAGCCAAGATGTTACACTTTTTAATACCAGAAACTTCTTATAAGGAATCTATTCGTTATAACATCTGCCAGAGACCAGCTTAGAAAGCAACTTTGGTAACTTCTAGGTAGGCCTTACCAAACTCTTTGCATCAAAATCTAATTATCACATATCCTTGCAGACCATTTTAACATGCCCAGGAAAAGCACAAATTACCTTTAGCACAATCAAATTATAAGCCAAAGACCGACATTCCAATCCAATCATTTTTATTTTCACAAATCCAAAAACTATGATAGGTCTGCAAGGAAAGGAGGAGAAATGGATCATAAGGTTGGTAATAATGGATTTCAACCTTAAGTTCCAGAATCCGTTGGAATTCAGTAGGTGTTCCCTCTGGCAGTAGTGCACAATATGTATCTGCAACAGAATCAATCGGGGAGAGTATGACCTGTACAACAAACGAAATTCAATATCTAGTAATGCATGTTATGCAAAAATTTATTGAACAACGCGATAAAGATACTTAAAAGTAGAAAACTTCAACTCTAATTTAGTCACAGACCTTCAAGAGTGCTTCCGCCTTGCTCATCTCACGACTAACAAATTTTGAGTAGCTAGAAGCTCCAGAAGTCTAATAAGAGAAACAAACACATTTGATAAAGAGGTATTATAACATTCAGTAAACAGGAATGACATAAATCTAATGAAAAGTTTCCTAAAAACCGATCCTTCAGAAAAATAATTTCAAATTGGTCCCATGACCAACTAGCTAATGAAGGATGAATCGAAGATATCCTGTAATATAGGCTGGCTAATTTAACACATCAGCAGCAGGGTCGTACAAGGAGAAAAAAAGAAAAAAATTAGGAAAAGATAGGCAAAACCTCCTGTAGGTGTAGACAACTAGACCAAAACTAGTTATAATAATCTAATCTTCAGTTTTAACTTGATCCGCCTAAATTCAGAAACCAAAGGCACACTTCTTTCACCCTCAACTAGTTTTTATTGCCTATTCATGAGGAGTTTAAATGGACAAGCCTGCAATAGTTTTTTTTTTGGAGTTACATGTTGGAATGGTGAGGATGTAATTAGTGTCAATTGAGCTCATATTTTGGGTCAAGGTACAAGTAAGCTTTTTCATTGGAAAGAGTAGAGATGTATGCTTTTTGAAAAAATCCTACCACAGTAGGAAACCTTCACCTAGATATTAGGTTCTCACTCCTTTACTTGCATGATTTAGATTGAGGTCCAGAGGTCATTATAATAATCCCAACACGGGATCCCAAAAACGTGAGTTTGTTTGGACAAGAGTTTATTTGGATGATTTATTTGAGATAATTACTGTAGCACTTTTTGTGATGTGATTTATGTGAGATAAAAAGGTGATTGGGAAGATAAAAAGGTGATTGAGATTTGTGAGGCAAATTATTTTTTTTCAAATTATCTCTATCCAAACACACTTGCTGCTCATAACTAATGGACTATAGAAGCCAAGTTAAAGTTTAATTAGAAAAATGCAATCATTCAGGATACCTGTCTTCCAAGGGAAGGAATATCCAGAAGAATAGTCTTTACAGCCTGAGTATCCAACAACATCTGCAAATGCACAAAATCTTATTTCACATCAGAAAATTTTCCTTGCATGAAATGGACCCAAAACTACATGCTTGATTAAAGAATAACAATCGTGATCTGAACAAATTAGATATAAGCACAGATAGAAAGTGTTGATGATAAATTAGGTCCAACCAGTGTAGAGAACATGACAGAGCAAGAGGGCAAAGAAAAAGGAAGAAGAAGAAGTATACTTGCTGTGCTCCAGTTTCTGATATCTGCTTGCACCTGAATATATTGGAATAAAAACGTGGAGGAAGAGATGACGCAAGCTGCATGGTACAGGAGATTATGAGCAGTTCAATCCAAAATGCATGTGGAAAACCACTATAAAAATAAATGTGAGCTATCTAGAACTTTCCATGACAATGAAGATGGTTCATATTTTTAAAAGATAATAGAATGAATGTTAAAGTTGACAAAACTGAAAAAATGAAAAATACAAACTGAACTGATACAAGTTTCACACTCACCTTATCAAGAAAGAACTGGAAGTAAATTGAAGAAAGAAGGGTTCCGAGTGCAGGGATGCTGCTACTAAATATTGTATTTATTCCATTGACATATCTGCAGGAAAGTTTAGAAGGTGATTGGATTTCTTCCAA